TATCAGACTGCCACATTCTATGAGGTCGGCATCACCCTGTTACCCAAACTAGACACAGATATCACACACACACACAAAAATTACAGGCCAGTATCACTGATGAACAAAGATGCAAAAATCCTCAACAAAATATTAGCAAGACAAATTCAACAGTACATTAGAAGGATCCCACACCATGATCAAATGAGATTTATTCCCGGGATGCAAGGATGATTCAATATGTGAAAATCAATCAATGTAATACACAACATTAACAACTGAAGAATAAAAGATCATGTCAATAGATGCAGAAACAAGCTTTTGACAAAGTTCAACTTCCATTTATGATAAAAACTCTCCACAAATGTGGGTATAGAGTTAACATACATCAACATAATAAAGGCCATATGTGACAAGCCCACAGCTAATATCATACTCAGTGGTGAAAAGCTGAAAAAACATTCTCTCTAAGATCAGGAATAAGATAAGTATGTCCACTTTTATTTAACATGCTATTGGCAGTCCTAGCCACAGCAATCAGACAAGAAAAAGAAATAAAAGAAATCCAAATTTCAAAGGACAAAGTAACACTGTCACTGTTTGCAGATGATGTAATACTATACATAGAAAATCCTAAAGATGTCACCAAACAACTACTAGAACTCATCAATTGGTAAAGCTCAGAATACAAAATTAATATAGACAAATCTGTTGTGTTCCTATGCACTAACAACAAGCTATCAGAAAGAGAAATTAAGAAAACAATCCCATTGACAATTGCATCAAAAAGAATAAAATACCTAGGAATAAATCTAACTAAGGAGGTAAAAGACTTGTACTCAAAAAACTGTAAGACACTGATGAAAGAAATTGAAGAAAACACATACACAAAAATGAAAAGTTATACGCTGCTCATGGATTGGAAGAATTAATATTGTTAAAATGACCATACTACCCAAGACAATCTACAGATTCAGTGAAATTCTTATCAAAATACCAATGACATTTTCACAGAACCAGAACAAATAATTCTAAAATTTTTATGGAAACACAAAAGATCCCAAATAACCAAAACAATCTTGAGAAAGAACAAAGCTGGAGTATCACATGCCCTGATTACAAACTATATTACAAAGCTACGGTAATTAAAACAGTATGGTATTGGCACAAAAACAGACACATAGATCAATGAAACAGAATAGAGAGCTCAGAAATAAACCCACACTTAAACAGACAATTAATATATGACAAAGGAGGCAAGAATTGGGAAAAGATGGGGAAAAGACAGCCTCTTCAATAAATGTTGTTGGGAAAACGTGACAGCTACCTGCAAAAGAATCAAACTGAACTTTCTCTCACATCATGTATAAAAATAAATTTGAAAAGGATTAAATCCTTAAATGCAAGACCCGAAACCATAAAACTTCTAGAAGAAAAGATAGGCAGTATGCTCTCTGACATCAGTCTTAGGAAAAAAATTTTGGATATGCCTCCTTAAGCAAGGGAAACAAAAGCAACAATAATCAAATGGGATGACATCAAACTAAAAAGCTTTTGCACGGCAAAGGAAACTATCAACAAAACAAAAATGCTACCTACTGAATGTGAGAAGATATTTGCAAATTATATAAGGGGTTAAGATCCAAAATATACAAAGAACTCACACAACTCAATATCAAAAAAATAAACAACCTGATTAAAAAATGGGCAGAGAGGGCTTCCCTGGTGGCGCAGTGGTTGAGGGTCCGCTTGCCAATTCAGGGGACACGGGTTCGTGCCCCGGTCCGGCAAGATCCCACATGCTGCGGAGCGGCTGGGCCTGTGAGCCATGGCTGCCGAGCCTGCGCGTCCGGAGCCTGTGCTCCGCAACGGGAGAGGCCACAACAGTGAGAGGCCCTCATACCGCAAAAAAAAAAAAAAAGGGCAGAGGATCTGAAGAGTTATTTTTCTAAAGAAGACATACAGACAGCCAACAGATGCATGAGCTTCTTTGCTCAACGTCACTAATCGTCAGGGAAATGCAAATCAAAACCACAATGAGACATGACCTCATACCTGTCAGAATGGCTATTATCAAAAAGACAACAAATAATAAGTGTTGGCAACAGATGTGAAGAAAAGAGGACCCTCACGCACTGTTGGTGGGAATGAAAATTTATGCATCCACTATGGAAAACAGTATGGAGATTCCTCAAAAAATTAAAAATATGGGAATTCCCTGGTGGTCCATGGGTTGGGGCTTGGTGCTTTCACTGCTGGGGCCTGGGTTCAATCTCTGGTCAGGGAACTAAGATCCCGCAAGCCATGCATTGAGGCCAAAAATAAAAAAATAAAAATAAATAAAAAATAGAACTACCAACCAAGCAAAGAGGAGATTGGTTCAAGATGGCAGAGTAGATGGAGGTGTGATCACTCCCTCTTACAAGAGCACCGGAATCACAACTGCTGAACAATCATCGACAGGAAGACACTGGAACTCACAAAAAAGATACCCCACATGTAAAGACAAAGGAGAAGCCGCAGTGAGATGGTAGGAGGGGCACAATCACAATAAAAATCAAACCCCATAACTGCTGGGCGAGTGACTCACAAACTGGAGAACACGTATACCACAGAAGTCCACCCACTGAAGTGAAGGTTCTGAGCCCCACGTCAGGCTTCCCAACCTAGGGGTCCGGCAATGGGAGGAAGAATTCCTAGAGAATCAGACTTTGAAGGCTAGCAGGATTTGATTGCAGGACTTTGACAGGACTGGGGGAAACAGAGACTTCACTCTTGGAGGGCACACAAAAAGTAGTGTGTGCATCAGGAACCACGGGAAGGAGCAGTGACCCCATAGGAGACTGTACTAGACCTATCTGCTAGTGTTGGAGGGTCTCCTGCACAGGTGGGGGGTGGCTGTGGCTCACCATGGGGACAAGGACACTGGCAGCAGAAGTTCTGGGAAGTACTCCTTGATGTGAGCCCTCTCAGAGTCCACCATTAACCCCACCAAAGAGCCGGGTAGGCTCCAGTGCTGGGTCACCTCAGGCCAAATAACCAACAGGGAGGGAACCCAGCCCCACCCATCAGCAGACAAGTAGGTTAAAGTTTTACTGAGCTCTACCCACCAGAGCAACAGCCAGCTCTACCCACCACCAGTCCCTCCCATCAGGAAACTTGCACAAGCCTCTTAGATAGCCTCATCCATCAGAGGGCAGACAGCAGAAGCAAGAAGAACTACAATCCTGCAGCCTGTGGAACAAAAACCACATTCACAGAAAGACAAGATGAAAAGGCAGAGGGCTACGTACCAGATGAAGGAACATGATAAAACCCCAGAAAAACAACTAAATGGAGATAGGCAACCTTCCAGAAAAAGAATTCAGAATAATGATAGTGAAGATGATCCAGGACCTCGGAAAAAGAATGGAGGCAAAGATTGAGAAGATGCAAGAAATGTTTAACAAAGATCTAGAAGAATTAAAGAACAAACAGAGATGAACAATAAAATAACTGAAATGAAAAATACACTAGAAGGAATCAATAGCAGAATAACTGAGGCAGAAGAACGCATAAGTGAACTGGAAGACAGAATGGTGGAATTCACTGCCATGGAACAGAAAAAGAAACAAGAATGAAAAGAAATGAAGACAGCCTAAGAGACCTCTGGGACAACATTAAACACAAAAACATTCGCATTATAGGGGTCCCAGAAGGAGAGAGAGAGAGAAAGGACCCGAGAAAATATTTGAAGAGATAATAGTCGAAAACTTCCCTAACATGGGAAAGGAAATAGCCACCCAAGTCCAGGAATCACAGAGAGTTCCAGGCAGGATAAACCCAATGAGAAACATGCCGAGACACATAGTAATCAAATTGACAAAAATTAAAGACAAAGAAAAATGATTGAAAGCAACAAGGGAAAAACAACAAATAACATACAAGGGAACTCCCATAAGGTTAACAGCTGATTTCTCAGTAGAAACTCTACAAGCCAGAAGGGAGTGGCATGATATATTTAAAGTGATGAAAGGGAAGAACCTACAACCATGATTACTCTACCCAGCAAGGATCTCATTCAGATTCCACAGAGAAATCAAAAGCTTTACAGACAAGCAAAAGCTAAGAGAATTCAGGACCACCAAACCAGCTCTACAACAAATGCTAAAGGAACTTCTCTAAGTGAGAAACACAAGAGAAGAAAAGGACCTACAAAAACAAACCCATAACAATTAGAGAAAATGGTAATAGGAACATACATATTGATAATTACCTTAAATGTGAATGGATTAAACGCTCCAACCAAAAGACACAGCCTCGCTGAATAGATACAAAAACAAGACCCATATATATGCTGTCTACAAGAGACCCACTTCAGACCTAGGGACACATACAGACTGAAAGTGAGGGGATGGAAAAAGATACAGGATCATATCAGTCCCCAGAGGATCTGGGAGCTTTAAGCAAATCATTCAAGTCATGTAGGTGGTAATGGGCAGGAGTGAATTTTGTACCCAGGTTGTGTAATTTCAAATTCTGTGTTCCTATCCACTCTGCTACGTTGCCATACTGTTCATACTTTTTGACCCTAGAATCTGACTCCTAGAAAGGAAACCTAAGGAAACACTTAACTGTAGAAAAACACTATGTTGCAGTGTTAGAAAAGGGAAAAATTGACACAATGTTATTGTCTAACAATAGAAGAATGGCTGTAGTATGTTGCAACTATGTTATGGAATATCATAGAGACATTAAAAAAGATAATAGAGACTCTAGGAATATGAAAAAATTTTCAGATAAAATACTCAGTGAAAAAAGCAGAATATGCATGGTCATATTCATCAGTTGCCACAGCATAAAAATATGTATGTATAGGAAATACAGTTGAAAGTATTTGTGGATTGTGGTTGTTCAATTGGACTGGCTAAAATTTTTTCCCTCAAGACTGTTCTTAGTTTTAAAACAATTATCTGAAATGAACAATTTTATCACATAATCCCCTTCTCAAAACACTGGCCCCAGTCTAATTTCTTTCTTACCTGTACCTCTTCTGCTCAGAACAGCTCCCTGTTTCCACTTGCTTCTGTAGAGCTCTGTAGCACGAGCTCTTGCCACTCAGGTCCACGTGCACAAGATTGGCCCAAAAAGAAACTGCACATTTCCAAAAAAAAAAAAAGAAAAGAAAAGAAAAGAAACTGCACATGTCTAGAAGTCACTTCACCATTTCTTCTATCTCTGTTGTGATCAGTAGTGTTGAGCTGCATATTTTATTGAAGAATTTGTTCTTTTACTTTTCCCACAAAAAAGGGTCTTCCTCCCGTCCCTGTTATAACAATATTCCTTTGAGCATAGCTGTCACCTTTATACACCTGTATACAGCTGTTGGCCACAGGGCTTCTCAACCTCAGCATTATTGATAGGTCAGCTCAGATAATTCTTTGTTGTATGTGTCCTGTGCATTGTAGGATGCTTAGCAGAATCCCTGCCCTCTTCATACTAGATGTCAGTAGCATCACCCCCCAAAAGTGTGACAACCAAAGACATCTCCAGATATTGCCAAATGTTCCCTGGGGCTGGGGGCCAAAATCACTCCTGATTGAGAACCACCGGACAACTGGAGGGATGTTGGTGGCATAGTGAGAACCTGTAGCTGACTGGTTATGCCCTTATTTAGCCACAAGAGGTCTCCCTAGACCCCATTATGGTTCTATTCTGGAACACACAGGGCTATGGCCACTACCAAGTAGGTTAATTGTCATGACTTGGTGGGTGACGACAGCAAGAGGTTTATGAACAAAAGCATTTGATCAATCTTCTGTGCGGAAGAATTCCAAATAAACCACGTAGATATGCCACTCTAAAGGAGGGGAGCTTAATTCCCATAGTGTAGTTTGTACATGCTAATTTGCTGCCAAAGAAAGGGGAGTGTGGAGTAACTGCAGTGGAGAAACCTGACAAACACGACCTCAGCCAGGTGACAGAGGTCAACAACAATGAATCATAATGATAGTATGTACCTTTGACATGGGTGATGAAAATGGCACTTTACGCCTGTGATCCTCCTCCCCAAACCTCATGACCCCAGTCTAATCATGAGAAAAACATCAGACAAATTCCAATAGAGGGGCATCCTACAAATACCTGACCAGGACTGCCCAAAACTGTCAAGGTCATTAAAAATAAGGGAAGTCTGAGAAACTGTTGTAGCCAAGAGGAGCTCGGAGACATGACAACTAAAGATAAGGTGGTACCTGAATGAGATTCTGGAATAGAAAAAGGGCACTAGGTAAAAATTAAGGAAACCTGAATAACTATAAACTTTAATTAATAATAAAGTGTCAACATGGGTTCATTAATTATAACAAATGTACCATACAAATAAAAATTTTTAATAATAGGGTAAACTGTGTGCAGGGGAAGGATTATATGGGAACTCTGTCCTCTGCTTCATTTTTCTGTAAATCTAAAACTGCTCTAAAAATTAGGTCTATTAATTTTTTTAAAAGCACCTGGGGACTCCCCTGGCGATCCAGTGGGTCCAGTGGTTAAGGCTCTGCACTTCCACTGTAGGGGGCACGGGTTCAATCCCTGGTCAGGGAATTAAGATCCCACATACAATGTGGTATGGCCAAAAAAATTTTTTTAAAAAGCACCTGATCAAGCCCTGCCTTGGTAAAATAAACAAAGAAAAATTTTAAATGGTGGATTTGCTAGAATTCTGATTTCCGATTTAAAAGGAATCATTTGATGACTGTAGTGAGAAATGCCACTATCAAGTACCAATCAAGCCCCTCATTTTCTGCAGAGTATCAGGTAAGAAAGCCAAAGATTGATACTGCAGAGAACTTTGAATAAAGGAGGTCAACTACTTTAAATAATTCTTTTTTTAAAAAATTATTTATTTATTTATTTTTGGCTGCGTTGGGTCTTTGTTGCTGCGCACGGGCTCTCAGAGTTGCAGCAAGCAGGGGCTATTCTTTGCTGCGGTGTGTGGACTTCTCATTGCGGTGGCTTCTCTTGCTGTGGAGCGTGGGCTCTAGGCACGTGGGCTTCAGTAGTTGTGGCATGTGGGCTCAGTAGTTGTGGCTCACGGGCTCTAGAGTGCAGGCTCAGTAGTTGTGGCTCACGGGCTTAGTTGCTCCATGGCATGTGGGATCTTCCCGGACCAGGGTTTGAACCCGTGTCCCCTGCATTGGCAGGAGGATTCTTAACCACTGCGCCACCGGGGAAGTCCCGACTTTAAATAATTCTTGGAAATTATTTCTATCCTCACAAGTAGGTAAATGTGTCATGATCATATAATGAGAATATCAACAATTATATCTCACTGATACCCCCTTTGAAGGTGGTATTCCAGGACAATATCCAATAGAGGAAAATTGAGTCTCAGAGAGATTATATATCTGCCCAATATCATAAAACTAATACGTGAGAAAACTAAAACTCAAATTTTTACATCTGATTTTACAACTTTGCTTTTAACTCCTGTGCAATATTTCCTCCCTATATGTGACAGCTGAGGTTATGCATGTCACTGTAGAGTATATATTACGTAATTTAAAAAGTGCTAAACAGAGGCTTCCCTGGTGGCGCAGTGGTTAAGAATCCTCCTGCCAATGCAGGGGACACGGTTCTAAGCCCTGGTCTGGGAAGATCCCACACGCTGCAGAGCAACTAAGCCCGTGCGCCACAGCTACTGAGCCTGCATGCCACAACTACTGAAGCCTGTGTGCCTAGAGCCCCTGCTCTGCAACAAAGAAGCCACCACAATTAGAAGGCCGCGCACCGCAATGACGAATAGTCCCCGCTCGCCACAACTAGAGAAAGCCTGAGTGCAGCAACGAAGACCCAATGCAGCCAAAAAAAAAAAAAAAAGTGCTGAACAAAAACCAGAAGTCTGTGTCCTCAGTTGGCTCAGGATACCAATTTCCTTACCAGAAAATTGTGGATAATAATACCTGTCCTGTTTACCTCACTGGGTTATTTTGAGTCAAAGGAAAGAATATATGAGAAAATGTCTTGGAACCTGTGGAGTGTGGCATTGTATCATTAACACATGTTTACTTGTGCAGCGTTTTGCAAATATCTCTGTGAGCTAATTGCAAAATGGAATTTGTGGAGATGATGGAGGGAGCTTTAGACTAGAAGCTTTTTTTCTAGCTTTAGCTTAGAAAAGAATTGTATCAGCCTCAAATCCTCCCTTGGAGGATAAGATCCCAAGTCTGTGGTCTTCACCACTGACTGCACTTATCACCTGGGGGGCTTTTAAAGGCATCCACGCCCAGGTTCCACCCCAGACTAATTAAATCACAATTGCTAGGAGTTCAGCACAGGCATTGCTATGTTTGAAAAGCTCTCCAGGTGACTCTAATATGCAACGAAGGCTGAGAACGCAGGCAGTCCTAATTGATCTAAAGTCAGCCCAGTTCCATGGGGCCCACCCTACCATTCCTGCATAGGCCGCTCTTCACTCCTAGAAATTGCTGGAGTTGGAATATTGCCATCAGGCAGCGAGGCAAAAATAAAAGTCTGGTCAGCCAAGCTGCTGAGACAGCTGATGATATTGTCATTTGACTAAAGGAAATGGATCTATGTCAGTTTTATTCAAAGAAGGAAGAGTCCGGGAGGGAGAATGCTTCGGAGGCCGGCTGTGCAATCATCTTGCAGTCTGCTGCAGCAGCAGGCCAGGAGAGCAGAGAGGCAGTTTGGAGCCTATGTAAACTCAGCTCTGCGGGTCAGTTTATCTTGGCTATTGTGTTGTCTGAAGAGCCTTTGTTGGGAGCCTGGGCCTTGGTGCCTGGCAGACCAAAGCAACAATCAGCTTTCAAGTTAGTGAATTAACACTGTTCAAAAACTGAGAGCACAGAAGAAAAAGCTGTTGGGCAAGAAGAGCATTAGATGTGCTACAGAATGAATACAATTCAGAGCTAGAAACTCCCTTCTTTTAGAAACAAGGCCCAGGTTCCTATATGTATCACTTTTCAGGGTCTTCGGTAAAAGAATTTAGGTTATAGCACTGCCAGGAGAGAGTACTGAGATGAATCATCTGGGGAAACTGAGGGTCCCTGTCTTCTAGGGTCTGGGCATCACTCTGACCAATCCAGGAATTCATTTTGTCATAACACTTAGAGGTGAGCAGCCTCTCGGGGTTGGACCCACATTAACCAAGCTCACGAGAGTCCAATATTGGAATAATGCAATGACCAGGCATTGGCACTGTATGGTACGTTCTCAAACATCTGTAAGAAAGACAACATGTGGAGCCACATCAGAACCATAAATTATACTTGAAAATCAAGCATATAATTAAGGGGACTTCCCTGGTGGTTCGGTGGTTAAGACTCCGCACTTCCAATGCAGGGGGAGTGGGTTTGATCCCTGGTCAGGGAACTAAGACCCCACATGATGCTTGGTGTGGCCAAAAAATAAAAAAATAAAAAGAATATAATTGAGAAATGAGTTAGGTGATCTTACAAGACAGTATCATCAAGCTACAGTAGCTGGATTCATTCAGCCTCTCTGTAGGGGTGACCCATTAGCAGAATAAAATATCCCAGATTCTGGCTGGGCACCTTCTGTCTGAATCACATTGGAGAGTCACTGACGAATTCTTGCTCTTCAGGGGTCATTTTTTCAAACCAGGGGTCTCCAAACATTGCTGGTTATACGTTCCTAACAGCAACAACAACAACAAAAATACATCCATTTTTTCAAATCATCTGTGGATAATTTTGAATTTTTTTGGTATCTTCTTGTCAGATCCGACAAGAAGGTTATTGCTTTTTACTGAGTAATGTGGCCGACAGCTTATATTAAGGGTAAGAGAAATGTCAACCCCACCACTTTCTTGCTGGCTTGGGCTTTAATTATTAGCATTATCTTTAATTTGCTGTTTCTTTGCAGGAAACTCGGGACGCTCTTGTCCATTTTATGAGGGTTAACTTAGTGAAAACTGAACACTGTAGTATAATACAATCTGTAAATCCATTAAACAGGGCACATTAAACTGCAAGTTTCCCCAGGCTCTGCTGAGAGGAAACCATTGAGTGAGGTGCCACTGTCAACCCTCCAGTCATGGAATTCCCATTCTTTGCTGGGATATCTCAGTAATGAAGGAGGCTATTCTTCAGACAATATATAACACAACGCAT